GGAACGCACCAACAGGTGAGAGCCAATTGCTCAACAAATATGTAGGAGGAAATAGTAATCGATCGGGCACACGTTGAAGAGACCGCGTAGTACAGGCCATCGCCAGAGTGAAATCCCAATGAGAAGAAAGGAGTGAGTCGTCAGTTGGAGGGCGACATATAGAAGATTGTGCGAATTGGAGGATAAGACGAGGGATTATGGCAAAATCGTAGAGCTAGCCATCTGAAGAGAATAGAATAAAGTGTAGATGTGTTGTTGAAGCCCACCTATGTTCCACTTGGAACCCAAGGGAATAATAATAAATAAATAATAATTACAATTTAATGACTCCATTTCTCACTTATAAAAAATTCAGATTACCTTACAAAACAGCAGAAAAAACAAACAAAAGAAATAAAGTTGTTTTCTGCCACCCCCCTCTACTCACCCACTTACTGCTCGGATTCTCAGCAATGAATACATTACACGAAGCTTAAGGGCATAATTAATACCTCACTATAAATTATTGAATGCGAATAAAAATGTATCTATTTAATTGATTAGAGTTATTCAAGAAAAGAAAAAACTTTTTAAAAAAGCAGCCTGGACAGAAGAAAAGATATTTAGCGTTGTCATGGTTACCGAAATAAGGGGAGGAGGAGGAGCAGGAGAAATTAAACCAAAATAGGTAGAGGAATATATATTTTCTAGAAAAAAGAATATATTAAAAGAAATGATAAGTAAGTCTGTAACAATTCAGTGATATATTTTGTTCTTCTCCTCTCTACTATGACAAAATGGACTTAGAACCTGATAAAACACAGATGTGGTGTGCATGAATACATTTCATGAATGGATGGATGAATTGATATTTACTCTTCTTGACATCGTTTTATTCTGTTCAGTAAATTCAGGTTGTTTTTATGTCAGAAAAAGAAAGAGAAACTATGTGGGCATTAAGAAACTCATTGTTGATTTTTATGTTTCCAGTAAGTATTAGTGGATAAACATGAACATTCTTAGAGTATAGAATGAAACCACACTCCTATGCTTCTTGGGTCTTTGTGCTTCTCTGGATGATGTGCGTTAACGATCTAACTTCAACAGTTATACATCTCATCCAACAGTTGTACGACAATGATGCATGCCAAGTAATCCACAATGGGAAACTCACGGAATCATTCGAAGAAGAGAAGATGGGAGTAAGACAAGCTGGCTACCTACAAACTCCAATGATTTTCCTGATTGTTTTAAACTGGATAATCCGATGGACAGACAGCGGTGGGCAGCGAGGAAACAGGCATAAAATGGACCTAAACAAAAAACTTGGAGGATCTGAACTTCGCTGATGATATATATTCGATTTCATACAAACTGAGAGATATGCAAGTGAAAAGTAACAAGTTGGTAGAAGAATTATCCAGAGAAGAAAGAACTCCAGGTGAACATAGAGGAAACAGTGATAATGAAGATTCCTGGCCAACAGCGACTACAACAACATACAACAATCAACCAGCATAAATAGGAGAAATCTGAAAGAGCAATCAACCTCCTTTCACTTACCTACCTACCAGCGAAGCATCGTTTCAACTACAGGCGGATGGAATTGACGAGGACGTCAAAGGGAGGATCGGTCGGGAAAGCAAGGCGAGCTTTCATTTCTCTCAAGTCTGTGTGGAGGTCAACAGCACTGCTCAGCATCCAAAATAAGATCTGAATTTTCAACTCCAATATGAAGTCAGTTCTACTTACTATACTCATCTGAGACTTGGCGTGTCATGCAGAGCACTTCAAACAAACTACAGACCGTCATCAAAAGCTGTCTTCGCTCAATACCACTCGAGATCAAATAGCCGATCAGAAACGATCAGCAGCACGGATCTCTGGTAATGAGCAAACCAACCCAGCAGGAACTAACTGCAGGAAGAAATGAAGGTGGATTGGTGGCCATACTCTGAGGAAACAAACCATCAAGTGACATCACACACCAGGCCATCACTCGAGTGGAACCCGAATGGGAAGCAGCGAGTCAGCTGGTCGTCAGTGCGAAGGTGACATGGAGGAGGTGATGTGAAGGGAAGATGAAAGCATGTGGGCAGACGTGAAGCCAGGTGAAAACATTGCCAGAGAACCGAACACAATAAAGACGTGCATACGAAGCCCTATGTTCCTCTGGAAACTAAAGGAAACAATAATATAATAATAACAATCTTACTTGAAATTACTATTCAAGAGTTAGTTTACAGGAATTGGATTTGTTTTCAGTCTGATCATGGACTGATTGATGTCAGTTGGGTGATCACGCTGGGGCTGTTTACATGACGAAATCCCCTAGAGTTCTAGTCAGCTGTCCTGCAGAGTGAGATCCACCCAGTTATGAGTGAAGAAAAATATTCGCTGATGACATTGGTTAGAACAAGTCGCGCTTAGATTCACGAATTGGTTGGTAGAAATTAGACTCCAGTGACTCGGACCCTAGTAGCTGAATGGTGAAGAATCATTCCTTGTGACCGGTAAGCCCTGGGCTGGAACTCTGGAGGTGAGTTTGTATTACTAATGGGTTCCAGTCAAAACTGTCCAGTACTTCAACTCTGACAGTTTCCGGTACTTCTCTAAGTGATGTCATTCCGTCGCCAAACTTGAAATCAGTTGAGTACCGACAGATTGACATTTGAAAAATTCATGACCCTTCTTATTAAGTGTACTGCCGTAAACCTGTGTAATACCCCTTGGACCTACGACTAGAGTATTGTGCTTGTATGTTCACTTCGTTACAGTTGTCATACTGTCCATCAGACCGCTTGAAATTGATACTTTTATTAATTATCAATTAAATAAAGATATCATTCAAACACTTCATGCGATTTTATCTCATGTACTTAGTGACTGTACGTTTCACACCCATCTGAATGATAATCAGAAGGAACTGTCCTTGTCCCATCTTGCTGTACTAGCACAAGATTAGAGTTTCTGATATAATTTTAATTTGTCATTACTATCTATTAATGGTTTTATTATTGTACAGCCTTAGGAAGAGGACGAATTCTACTGAAATCGCTGGGATTCTTCTTCTCCTTCAACTGCATACTCAAAATACACCTCCATAAAGACTGAAGTCAACATTCTGATATAATCTTACAAATAACTTTTTATAGGAAATAGCTAGTCTTGAAGCAGTTTTTGAAATTATCGTTTTTTCTAATTTTTAGTAGCATTGATAATTTGTGTATATATGGAGTGTTCTGTTTTTAGCCTAACACGAAACCTTCCCTATCTACCGGCACTTTTATAGAACTGTGTCAGCCAGAAATCGAATCCAATCCAACTGGCAGCTTTTTTTTAATTTTCCTTCACTTTCCTCAGTGGAACATAGGGTTTCAAGCTAGTGCCTTGAAGTTTCTGTAGCAGTGTTTATTTTACAGGTTGGGGTTGCTAGCCTCATGCCTAACTTTTCCTCTTTACCAGCATTATTTCTGCCTCAGCGAGGTAAAGGAGTGTGTCAGCCGGGGATCGAACCCCGGACCATGTACATGGTCGGCGAGCGTCCTAACCACTACACCACCGACGCACACAACTGGCAGCTTTGGTGGGCATTTATTAGTATGAATTAAGACACAAAACAGACACAATGATTTATTCATTGCACATGCACCATGCACATGGTCCGGGGTTCGATCCCCTGCCAACGCACGCTCGATATCAATGGTCGGCCTTCAAAATTTGGGCTACCGATATCACAAGCGGAAAATTCCATACTTGTACCAAAACTACGGTGTGTGGAATCAAGCTATAATCCAAAAGAAATTACTGAAACTGTGACTTATTTAATGTTCCCATAGTAAAATTTAGAACAACACATTTAAGTGAACAGTGATATTGTGATTTCAATTAGATCTCATCAGGCTTAACTCTAATATATATATATATATATACATAAGTTTACAAATAAAAATTCAAATATAAACCAATCATGGTGTTTTGTCTATAGGATAATACGATGGTGAATATAAATTGTGCAATTAGTCATAATAGTAGTAATGATAATAATAATATTAGTAATAATAAAAATGGTCTTATCAATAATAAGGATGAAAAAGTGAGGCAGTCTGTGATAACACGAATAATGAAAAAAACAGTATGATTAAACAAACAACTATTAAGGTGAAAGTAGTCGATAAAGGCTAGTAAAAACAAATGAACAGACTGAGTAATGTTAGATTGTAATGACGTTTCGTGCGAAAAACCACTTTATCACAATGGTCTACCTTCGCTCCCTGCTGAAGATCAGATGACCAAACAGCCGGCCAGCCAGAAAGAATTAGCAAAAAGCAACTTTGCAGAGTAACAAACCAACCAAAAGCAGATGGCTCAACAAATATGTAGGAAAAATGGAGATGGATATGGCACACGTCACTGAGGAGGCCGTCAAATGACATCTGTCGAGTGAAATCCAATGAGTACATGAGCATGACATAGAGGCGATCGTGTGAGTTGGAGGAATAGACGAGAGATTATGGGTAATCGTGACGCTAGCCATATGAAGAGGACAACAGAAAATAGAATAAAGTGTAGATGTGTTGTTGAAGACCACCTGTGTTCCACTTGGAACCCAAGGGGATAATGATAATAATAAAACGGACTAGTAAATGAAATATTGTATCCAAAGATACTAGACAGTACTAAAGAATTCGTCATAGAATATATACACAGTTCTTGAGTTAGGTCACGAACTAATACGAGAAAGTAATGGATGGCTGTTTTGTCCCAGTCTGAGACTCCTCAGTAGTACGAACTCATAACTCCACTAAGAATCGTGCCCAGAACACCTTATAGAGTTAAAAGTCTATCCTTCTGACTATTCAACTACAAGGATGAAACCCAATAGCTTATAAACCTCTGGAAAAAGTGTGGCAAAAAACAGCTCAAACCATAAGTCAGATGACTGTAACCCACAAGAAAGCATAACACCTTTCTATGAAGAATATATCATAAAAACGTTTTTACAAAATTAGTCTACTCACCTTGTTCAACTGGTCCTGGCATAGAATATCTCTCCCCATGGACAGCTTTTAAACTTTCATTATTTACACCGAAACCATCAATAATCCATTGTACACTTAAATATTGTTCATAAAATACCTTCAATTTAGTCGATATATTATAATTTTTATTATAAACTCTACAATGCATTATCGTATTTGTATTATATAGTACAGATTGATTCTCTGGACCTCTTAGATAATTATCCACAGGTTGTTGTGTTGAAGAGGACGGTGCAGTCGAAGAATTAGAAGACGAATAATAATAGTAATGATATTGATTATTATTATTATAATATTTACTCTCACCACTATACAGAAATGAAGATAAGCATAAAAGACTTCCATATGTTATAGAAAAATAATTCCATCTTAAAAGAAATATATTGAACACGATGATAAGAATAGTATTCAAATTTGATTTACAATGGATCACCATAGTGTTCTGTGCTGAAATAATCTTGACTGTTGGACATTACGTGATTATTTTTGTAGCATTTTGTTGACAGCATTTCTACATGACTCTACTTCGTCTTCTTCTTGTTGTTGTTCTGGACGTTCGATGAAAATACACGATGGGAATAAATGACAAAACCAAAGTTCAGTGTATTGGTTCCACATTATTTCAAAGCATCAGTAATAATAATAATAATATTAATAATTGGACCTGTGTGGTGTGCTAATGACATCATGCATACCACAGAACAAATAAGTTTTTTTTGCGATTACGAATGTACTACTGAATATCTTCTTCTTTCTAACCAATCAGTGAACAGATGAATTTTGATTGGATAATTCAAAAGTTATCCTAAAACTTCCTTTTCATATAAGTGCTTTCTTTAATTGACCATACGGCTTCAGGCTTTGAAATTTCCCTGTAGCGTTGGTGTCATTCTTTACGAGGTAACAGCATTGCTAGTCTTACCTTTTTTCTGGACTCACCACTGATCAGATGAGGTTTAGTGGTGAGTCGTTCAGAAATCGAACCACAACCATGTGCGTGTATGGGAAGCATTCCAGCAATACAGGAATTTCATTGATCGGATAGAGAGCGATTCGAAAACCACCAGGGACGACTGGACAGTTGTTTCATCCTATTTTAGCACTCTTAGGCAGTAAAAAGCAGCCAGGTCTCGAAACCAGGACCTTCCGTCTAGATAGCGAGCTTATCGGCTTTTCGGATACTGGAACTCTTAATCCAGTGGCCCATGGATTCCAATTAATCTAATGGTCACTAGCAGCTGGCTCTATACAGGAAGTTACCTTGAGTTCTAGTGAGGAAATTCATAACCAGTCGAATCCACCAGCTTAGGCATGGGGACAGTTAATAGCCTATGTCACTGACTAGCAGTTGCGCCACATATCGCGAGTTTACAGAGTTCGAAGTTTCACTGTCACTGGTGTTGTTTTTTATGAGGTATGGTTGGTCAGCCGCACTTCAGATCTCACATCTTCTGAAGGCCTACTGTCAACTAGGTTAGATTTAGGGGTTCGTGGACCACATGCATGTCTGGAGAACCACTCACTTTCCCAAATGTTATAGCAACATTAAACAATAGTTAGAAGATAAAAGTATATATGTGAACGAAGTTATCTGATAATTACATATGACATCAATCCTTTGTAAGAAGATAAAACAGTTTAGTAGGAAAAAGTAGAAAAAACAGTAGTTTAATGCTTATTCGTGTTCGTGACCATTTCGCTGATTTGGGAAGTTGCATCAGCCCTATGGGACTGAATGGCTGTTGGCGAAATCTTAGCATGCGTACAAAAGACTCACAGACAATTTGAAGCCTAGTTTATCTCTGGTGCAGACGTGACATCCAGTTAGCTATGGAACAAAGAACGTGAGGACCGTACAGCAGTTCACTCTACCCTTCTTTATGACTGTGAGACTTGGCTATTGAAAATGGGAGGTATGAAAACGATAGCCTTCTTTGACAATAGGTGTCTGCATCTTATCTTCCTTGACAGTTGGTGTAATGTTGCTAGTAATATTGAGATTAGCCGTCGAGTTTTAGGTGAGGAGGGTGAGTCAGTCGATAGTATTTTTAGACTGAATTGATTGAGATGGATAAGATACGAGTTGAGAATTACCAGGCCACCTCTTTCCTCGATGGGAATGTTAGACGACATTGAATCAGGTTGATAAAAGGGTCAGAGGTGGTCAAATTAAAAACCCGGTAACAGTCCACTAAACCTTTGTTAGTTAGTTGAAGTCACGTAAGGAGGTGTGGGTTGCCTAAATTAGGCCCTCGTTATTCTAAGAACCAGTAACTCAAGGCAGTCGGAGAAATGGTTCAAAATTGTTCTGAATGGTGCAGATGCATTAACCCTCACAATTCTGCCTATTAAAGTACTCTTGAATCCCCTGTTTTACTCCCTTTCATCTACGTTTGTCAGCGACATGGAATGCAGGACCGTCAACTGCTACACTTCTGTGCAAAGTTCTATGCTGGAACTTCTTCAGCATTGATCACCTTTACTAGAGGATATGACCACCAAGAACAGATGCTTCATTAGTAATATAACCGAGAATACAAAGTAGGCTATGACCTTTATAAAATGATTCATTCGTTACAGAAATTCACCATGAGCTGCCTACCTGAATAGAGCGAGTCTCTAGTGATCATCTGAAGTTCTTGTGGGAAGTCGTGACCAGTGGGGTGCAGCAGGTCGTATGTGAGAACAAATACTCGCAAGCAATAGCACTGGCTAGTGGTCGCGCTATGTCATCAATTGGCAGAAGTTGGAATTCATGAACTGGCCACTGAGTCGGGCAGGAACCAGTAGCTTAATCGTCTATGAGCTCACCATGTAAGCAGAAGGTCGTGGGTTCTACCTGTGTGGTGGGTGCGCACTGATGAAGAGTCCCAAACCAGGACAAGACAGCTTCCCAATACTCCCTTTTGGTTTTCTACTGGTTATTTAACAGATGTCAGCTCATGATGAAATCCTGTAACGAATCAATCAAATCCCTAAAAACCAATACTAGAAAATGATTCATGGAATGCAACAAATCTTAGAAGGTGGTATAGAAGTAACAAGACATTGGTGTACAATTAAAACATTAGGCAACAATATAAGAATTATAACGAGATGTTGTTCAAAGTGACAATCGATCTAACAAGAAAAGGATATACAGATTGAATAAACAAAAGGAAAAATAAATAGGATCATGGTAGAAATGAAGATTATAATAGTTTAGCATAGACGGATTAGTACAGTGAAAGAAAGATTGGTTGAATAAACCTTTTCTGTAAACAATTCTCCTACTTTTCTATTTCGATGGCTAAAGCTTCAATAATGAAGATGAGTCGGACGCGTAGTGATTTTGACAGGTTCATTTTTCGCCTTCTGGATAACTTTAAAGGTAGAGGCAGTAGAGATAAAGTAGCTTGTATAAACCAGATGTTCAGTGATTGAGCTTCTTTCATTCTCACTTCCGATTATTGCAAACCACCAAGGATAGTAACCTTGCATTCCTTTTTGGACAAAACCCGCTTAAGAAAGCCGATATACTTAGTTTTACGAAAGCAGGTGAGCTGGTAGACTCACAGGGAGTTGGTTCACTGCAGGATATTGTCCTTCAGGATACTGAAAAGTTAGGAATGACTAGAAAGCTTTGTTCTTGTCTATCATAATGAGAAAATTTTCGTCACAAATCACATTATAATTTCAGAAAAATCATCTGTAAACGATTATGCAGACTAATGACAAGTTCTTTAGAAGCATTCTGCTCACTGAATTACTTATTTTAGTTTTGTACACGAATTAAGGGTTCAAAATTACCCTCTTTAACGGTGACTAGCAGCAAAATCTAGGACACACTGAATGTACCGGCTTCTCAGTAAGTGTGGTGTTCCCACAGCCACTCAGATCGAGCTACAGTCGGCATATTTGGTCCCACTGAGGCAACAGGGTGCAAATCTCAGGAGACACACCAGCACCTATGCGGTTATCGAATGCAAAGCCGAAAGAAACTCATTTAATCGACTCTACTTCCAGCCACCACTAAAACAAGTTTCTCTGACTTCTTAACCCTCATGATATCGAAGCATCCATGTGAGGCACTAATATAACAAAGTGAACTTCATCAATGGGACTTAACTTCTCTCGTTGGAGACACTCAAACTCGACTAAATAGCAGTCCCGCATCTTCATCTTTGGAAGGAGAGAAAGGAGAATTTCCAAATAATAAAATCATTTGATTTCTTTCACTGTTAATGAAAGGTGATTAAATACTTACCTTACTCACGCTTCATCTGTTTTTGGAAAAAAATAAACCACCAGAAACATGTAAACAGTCAAAATGTAGGTGCTTAGTCACCCAGAAAACTACACAGTATGACACACAGATTTCGATAACTCTCATTCCTTTTCCAGACGATTATTTCAGTTAGGCTGTACAGCCGCAGTTAAATACTTTACATCCAGCATGTCGACAAATACATGATACAAAGATAATAAGAATTGTAAAGATTACAGAGCACACTCCATAATCATTGTCTGTATGAATAATTCTCATTCATCCGAAGTCGGGGAATGGAATCCGGTCATGTAATATTTTGCTTTGTAAATGAAAATGAAAGTTATTCATGTTTATGATAATAGTAAATATTTTATACATATATTATATTATCGGTTAGAATTACTCACACTTCTGCTATCATTAAAGATAGATATTCTTCAAAGACGTACAGGCATCAAACAGTTCATTGAACAGGGAAAGTACAAGCATAACAAAAAGAAAAAGAAATGCGTACTTGTTCCGCTTTTTAGAATGTCATACATGGGAAATTCCCATTGTAACATATAGAAAATCGAAACAAGTGATTCAGCAAAGAGACTTTTCTCAACGAATTTATTATCAAGCTGTACAATGGTATATATATATGGTTTTTTAAGATCAACACGATCAACTTACTGCGGCACTCTAACAAATAGTTCCCATTAGCTTTTGTTCTCCTTTCTTTGTTACTATTATATTGTTGCTCATATATTCTATTACAGACTAATTTTATATTTCATATCCTGTGGTGCATTGTTTAAATATGTGAATGCAATGCTGTTCTTTTTTATTTCTTTTATTTCTCTTTTTTCTTTTTGTTGTTGTTGCTTTATATTTTTAAATCCTTATAAAATTTATGAGGTAATTAGATGCAATATTGTAACGAACGCTGAAAATTCCATACCTGTACCACAAATACTGTTTGGAATAAATCCATTATTATTATTATTATATCCGGGATTTGAATCATAGGTATGAATGCATAAAATAATAATAATATGAAATGCAATTAAAAGTAAAATGTGTGTGATTATAATTGTAGTTAAATGTCAAGTGGCAAAGCAAATTAATGTCATATATGAAATAATTCAAAGGATGGATGGACCTTGAAAAAGAGTGTGCAATTATAAGATTAGTGAACAAATTGA